TGTTAGAAGGGGCGGGTCATGGAGGTGTTGAATAAGGAGATGTACGGTACAAGAGTGTTTCAACAAGCAACTCTCCACAGCAGTAACTCCCTCTACCTACGACCAAGCTTTAATAATTTAACCTTTGACTTAAACTAAAGGAATCGAACTAATTTAACTAAACCAAATTAACGTAAATAATACAACACAAACTATACTAAACCAAAGACAATTAATCTAACCAAGATACATTAACCTAACCCAACCAAACTATATTCTTAACCGGAAGAGTGGGGTGGGTTTGGGGTAAGGTGGGTTGGGTTAGGGGTGGGGTGGGGTTTGGGGTGGGGTGGGTTTAGTGAGGTGGGTCGGGGTGAGGTGGCTTGGGATGAGGTGGCTTGGGACAGGGTTTGGGGTGAGGGGGTTTGGGGTGAGGTGGGTTTGGGGGTGAGGTGGGTTTGGATTTGGGGTGAGGTGGGTTTGGGGTGGGGTGGGTTTGGGGTGGGGTGGGTTTGAGGTGTGGTAGAGTGGAGTAGGATAGGATAGGGTGATCAGATAACCATAAAATTAACCAAACACGGAAGAGTTTAACAAGAGGTAGAAATCAATCACGTACTCGTATTGGGGTTATTCACACGTGTTGTTTTTCCTTAGTTATTCATTTAGTCGGAGTGAAAAATAGGCAGGTAAGTAGATACGTTAGACAGGTGAGTAGATAAATGCCAGGACAGGCGAGCAGATAAGTTAGACAGGTGAGTAGATAAATGTGTTGTGACACAGGTGAGTAGATAACAAGTTAGACAGGTGAGTAGACAAGTAGACAGGTGAGTAGATAACAAGTTAGACAGGTAAGTAGATAACAAGTGAGACAGGTGAGTAGATAACAAGTTAGACAGGTAAGTAGATAACAAGTGAGACAGGTGAATAGATAACAAGTTAGACAGGTGAGTAGATAACAAGTTAGACAGGTGAGTAGATTACAAGTTAGGCAGGTGAGTAGATAACAAGTTAGGCAGGTGAGTAGATAACAAGTTAGACAGGTGAGTAGATTACAAGTTAGGCAGGTGAGTAGATAACAAGTTAGACAGGTGAGTAGATAACAAGTTAGACAGGTGAGTAGATAACAAGTTAGACAGGTGAGTAGATAACAAGTTAGACAGGTGAGTAGATAAGTTAGACAGGTGAGTAGATAACAAGTTAGACAGGTAAGTAGATAACAAGTTAGACAGGTGAGTAGATAACAAGATAGACAGGTGAGTAGATAACAAGTTAGGCAGGTGAGTAGATAACAAGTTAGGCAGGTGAGTAGATAACAAGTTAGACAGGTGAGTAGATAACAAGTTAGACAGGTGAGTAGATAACAAGTTAGACAGGTGAGTAGATAACAAGTTAGACAGGTGAGTAGATAACAAGTTAGACAGGTGAGTAGATTACCTACCCATTCACCAAACCCATCCTCCTGTTTATCGATCTTATAATCTACTTACCTATCACTATATACTGTTCTCATCTACCTAATTTAATGTCTAATAAACAGTCCCTCTACTTATTTCCTTATTTATCCACCTAATTATCTACTTATCTACTTATTTCCTTATTTATCCACCTTCTTATCTACTTGGCTATCAATTTACTTACCAACCTAACCTAACTTAACCCGGGCGCCGACCCTGCCAGTAAAGCCGTCAACTCCTGGGTTAAACAAGTGAGTGACACTCGGCGCCAAGACCACACTACCTGCCTGACGGAGGTTTATAGCGTGGCTCAAGCTCAGAATTAATTCAAAGATAAGCATTTAGATATCAACGGAGAACTTTTGTATGTGTATTAAAACAAACCGCTAAGAAATGTTTAAGAAAGAAGTCAGTAAAAGTGAACTGAATCTTTAATAATAATGATAATAATAATAGTAGTAATGTATCACCTGAACTTCCTAAAGCTAACCTACTATAAGCTAATCTAATCCCCCAGGTAGCGTTGTGATTAATCTTCAGGTGATCCATAATGATAATGTGATGATGATGAAATATACAAAGAATATTTTTTTTATCAATTGTCGTAAAGGAACAAGAACAAAATGAGAAAGAAATGGAGCAGCATCAACAGTGTGAGAGGTACAGTAGTTGGCCTGGTTGTTAAATACGTCTTGACTACCCACAAAAGGGTAACGAGGCCGAGCTGTCACTGCGTCGTAACCATCCATGTGCTAAAACACGGCCCCGGGGACTTTTAAATACCGTCATTAAGATAATACTGTACACAGCCCTCAATAACACACTCACAAACTACCCAACCACAGCCTTAACTATTTCCTGAAGGTAAGAGAACACGTTGGCACACGGCGACGTCAACAGGCCAGGGAAGGGAGGTTGCACAGCATAAGACGGCCCACACGAGGTAATAACGCACATTAGTGTCTCCCTCAGTAAGGAGTCAGTTTTATGGAGCCGTCCAAGACAGAACGAGGCGATTGTTGCCACCTGTCATCTATTAATGAGTAACCGGTAACTTGGTTTTGTTTACGTGGGTCGCTGCTTACCAAGGATCTGCCTCGCAACATAACGATGTAAATACTCACGTAGCTTCAGGACGCTGAAACTGACGGCACCTTCTGAAGGCTAGTACAGTACTGTAGTTAGCTCATAAGCAATGACCCACCACACCGTCTCCCTCACACTCACCGGATTAGTGTGCGACATACAAGCTCAATTTCCATCAAAATAATTTTTCTTCCTGTTGGTTCAAGAGGAAGCGTCTGTTTCCATGAGAACTCAGAAGTGTTCTCCAAAGTTTTCGAAGTCACAAGGCGAGTCCAGGTGGTGGCGCCAGCCTCCCACTCGCGCCTCTGGTAACACACTAGTTCCGGTCGTCACCAAGAAGGGGAGGAGCTTGATAGGGTAGGCGGGACTACAAGGAGGGAGCGGCGCGCCTGGGGTTGTGGGCGGGGCCTGACTCCAGGTGGGGAGGTGGACGAGCACCTCCCACCACCACCCAGCACCTCCCCCTTCAGGATAATCAAGACCTCCATCCTAGCATTTTTATTCAGGAGTGATTGCAGTTAGGTAATTATTCCACTCAGAACGGTACAAAAACAAGACCAGGATTTCATACACTCCTCCAATAAATGATTTTGTTTGTGTTTTTACCCACGACTGATATAAAGCGGTCAATCCCGGTTCATCGAAGTGCAGAGTTAATACCGAACCTTAACCTGAAGAAGAAAAACTTAGGTTAATAAATACCACCGAGGGAGAAACTAGGAGAGTCGCAGGTAGAGACGTAACAGCCAAGGAAGCAGTGAGAAGGATAATAACACGAGAGGTAACGAATGGTGATGATGGTGAACTGCAGTATAACGGCACAGGTGAAGTTCCCTTGGAGAAAGTTGGAACAGCGATGCAGTCCTTACTCCAGGACGGTGATGGCTAAAGTACAACTTTGTTTTAACACCAAGACGCTCCAACTGGTGAGAAAGACTGTAACGTTGTCGAGAAGGTAAGGATATTTCCCAGAGAGTTTTATAACATCACAGTTATTAGAGTCGAAATAACAAGGCACTCGTAGGTATCTGCACGTAGAATTCTTGACCAAAATATTCTGACGCACAAAAATGGCTGAAATATAATAAAAAGGATAGGTCGGGTGGATCCTAGTTTGAACGAGCCCCAGCTGCTAATAGGCCCCCAACCTAACCTAACACTGAGATTCGGGTTCGGTCCCAACTACCACATCACTAACGGGTCTTGCTTTAATTGGGATCCATGAAGCCTGAGCCCCATTTCGTCTATCTGGGTTGAGCTATGGCCAAAGAAGACAAGGGACCAATTTACTCGACGCCCCCAATAAACTCAAAACACACATACACTTCCATTACGCATTGTAAGTTGTGTCCGGAGCCACTGAACTTCTCACGATAATTAAACACAACTAAACACATATCATATATCTAACTGGCTGACTTAAGCTAGAATACAAAAACCACATAAATATAGCAACAATATCATACCGAGACTCTTACCTTAACTAGATACGTTCACTAAACACCAAACTAAATACAGGTACAGTACAAGATTTCTCCCAAAGGATCATCTAAGCACAGTTTCAACACTTAACTGGTACTAAGTAAACGTATCTAGTTAAGACAGTCTCAATATTGTTTACCATTTTTGTGATATTTGAGGTTTTAGTAAATTTGGCCTCTTAGGTGTATTACGTCACAGGTTACACAGCATATAGACACACTGAGAAAGATCCACACGGTATACAGAGTGAAAGTATAAAATATAAAAGGCGCAAAATAACCCACATAAGAATTAGAACACAGAGATGAGGTTTACTGACCCAGAGATCCAGTTGTGACCTAGAACCAGCCAGTCAGTCTCTCCGTCGCTGCAAACATCAATAAAGTCATCATCACACACTCGTCGTATTGTGAGGAGGCAAACGTAGCTGAAGCACCTTTCGGTCAGCCAATAACCACCGTCCTCACTAACTCTCCTGTTATTATATATACTGTAGTGATGCTTGACTGTGGTTATTCACGAGCTGGGGGAGAGTGGAGGGAATTGGGATTAGTATTTAATTACAGAAAAATGTATTTGTGTGTCAAGGGGGATACTGGCAAGGTGGCCATTGTTGAGAATATACCACGGCCATGATCGCCAATTAATTTCTCTAACCTAGCGTACCAATGAAAAGATAGTTCGGTTGTTTTACGACAATTGAAAAAAAATGAGAGTAATGGGTTAATGATCATATTTATGGCAATAATTCAACTTTAAATTTTATTGTGGATACTGAATTATTGAACGAATCTTATTACCTTCTTGTATTTCAATATTTGTATATCCCATCCACCCACCCACACCCACTCCTGTTCCTGTTCAGTCCCACTCCTACCCAGTCCCACTTATACCCACACACTAACACCCATCCTTACCCACACACACCCACCCCTACCCACACACCCACCCTTACTCACACATCCATTCCTACCCACACACACCCCACCCACACAAAATCCAAAAAGAACATGGTACCAATAATGAACCTCTGACGTCACTCCATAATACAGGTACTGAGATCATTATTTTATTTCATTATATTTTTATTTGTACCAGAGGAAAAATACAATAATTCACACATCATACGTAAGATAAAAAAAAAGGGTCAAATAAACAACAAATATCTGTAACATAATAGGAATAATGATAAAACTTTCAAGACGTCATTATACAGTAGTTACAATGTATAAGTATTATTTTATCAACTTGTATATTATGAAACCAATGAGATGTAGAGAAGGTCCGTGTCTCTCTCACATACACTTCAATGTACACACACACACACACACACACACACACACACACAGTTACGATGGCTGATTCTTTCATGCACGAAATACTTCAACTGTACAGCTTACTCATGTGCATTCTCACTTACTTTCCCTTTCTCACCCACATCCTCTTACATACACTATCACACATGCATGCTAGTATATACACTGTCACACACACTCAACATACTAGAGGTTAACTACATCATTCTCTCTTATGGTGACGTAGACACGACGTAGACGCTTCACCAGTAACTCGGATCATACAGTAGTTTTAGATTCTCGGTGTGTGGAAAGTCTTCCTCAGTACAGGTCATCAGGGCTTCATCACGGGCGTCTGGCTCCTGCTGGTCTCTGGCTCCCAATCCAAGCCACCGGGTGCTGAATATTACCGGTCTGCTTAGGGATGACCTGTAGGCTTAACATGGCTCCATTCATGAGGTTACCGGGGAGCTGAAGGTCCCCAAAATATGGATGTGATTGTTACTGGGTGTTGAAGTTCCCGGTATCCTCACAAGTGAGCAGCTGAAGGCTCCAGGTATTCTAGTAAGTGGGTATGGTCTCTACTCATAGCTACCGGTGTGTTGACTCCACCCGGTACTCTCCTGAGTGTGGTCAGTACTGGGGGCCTCCGGTGTCCTGACAGGTGAGTTGGTCCCTATGCGTAGCCGCCGCTACTGTGTCCCAGGCCACCACCGCCCTCGTAGGTGACCTTGGCGACGTAGCCATCGTCGCCCTCCACGGTGTAAGTGACCACTTGGGTGCGGCCGTCGGGCAGCAGGACGCGGTACTCCCCTGAGGAACTGGTGCCATCCCGCTGTTCCGCGTGGCCGTACTGGTTCCCGGACTCCGCGTCGTTGGCGTCGTAGGAGAATGTGTATATTGCCTGTAGAGGAGCAGACATGGGCCGTGGTAAGGCTTGAGAAGTGTAAAAATTTTAGTTTTTCGTCCGTAAGTATAAGCGCTAGGGTGTTGAAGGGCGGACCATCACCCTGATGATCTGTACAAGTGTGTTGTCTCTTTGGATGCAGACATTGATGATAGTACTCAGTGAGTCCACTGTGAATGTGCATGTACCACTGAGAAGGCGGAAAAGTGTGTGTCAAAGGGCAGAAAAGGTGGCAACACCATTGAGAGGGCAGAGAAAGCTCCAATTTCCCAATGGATGGTGTGAAGGAGTGACGGACAGAAAGTCGCGGAAAGGTAAGTAAGTAAAATTATCATCGAAAGTTCTAAGTCTCTTCACGGACAACCGTGGGAATATAACTACTGTGATACAGTAATCAGATCATCTGACTCTTCGGGCAGGTATTATATTACTGGTCTAATAACAACGTGAAGAAGTTGCAAGGACCATTATAGTTCATGGAGGAGAAGGATTGCATTAGGTCATCATTCACTTCTCTGTGGATGTCTTAGAGGCACAACACCTCGTACTGTAGGAGAGAGAGAGAGACTTACGGGTCCTGCGTTGTCGCCGCCAGCGTCGTTGTAGATGGGTCCAGCCCAGACCGCAGCAACAGCCGCCGCCAGCACCACCACACCCACCTGCCACACACACAGAGGAGGGGTCAGTGTCATGAAACTATCGCCGTTGTGCACCACCTGACTAACTAATCTACTCATTAACTTTTCAAACAAACAAATTATCTACCAACACAGCGCTGCTCTTACTGATCTATCTACTAGTACGAATTGATAGACACCCAGGCCGAATTTTATACCCTTTGTGATGCGTCTCTAAGCTGCTCTCTCTTTTTACCTAACATGATATTCAACATAACGTCTCTTGTCACCCACCTTGAAGAACACCGCCATTGTTATTGTGTTGATGGTGAAGACGTGAGTGACGACTATAGCTCAGCTGGCACCTTATATACCTCCACCCCAAGAGCCACGCCCACATCACCACTCCCTTCAATCCCTGCTGCTCCAGGCGTAATGGAGGTGGATGTCGGTAAGTGTGAAAGGAAATTGGAGGAATGTCACGCGAGATCAGAAAGACGAGCGGTGAAGAATTTTTGTCTGGTTGTAAATCACTCGAGCTTAGGAATTTCAGGTGAGTGTGAAGAGATTACCAGAGTGGCCCAATTATGTCGCAACGCCACAATTAATCTTTATTATTATTATTATTTTTTTTTTTGAGGGGGGAGGGCACACCCCTACATCCTGTGTAAGGTGAAGCGCAGAAGCGTTTACAGTGCCCAACTGGGAAGCATGCGGAGTTCATGCTTGCCTTTATGTCTCATGAGTTAAGGGCGTAGAAGCCTGAAGAGTCAAGGGTTTTATGTCATCAAGTTATTGGAAGTTCCAACAACTTTCCCTGAATACGAATTCGCAACTTTCGATTTACAACAGGAACCTACATTACTGCTAGGTGAACAGGGACTAATGGGGGCTAGGAAGTATGTCCAAACAACTTTTCCACCAGCCCGGGAATCGAACCCGTGACATCTCGCTTGAGAGGCAAGAGTGGTACCGTTCTACCATCGGCGCCCCCGCCCTTTCTTGTTTGATTGTCTGTCTGTCAATTTGTCTTATCTTGTAGCCTTAAGAACAATTTGCTCTGTTGTCTAGGGCGTTTACTGAGCGAGAGGTGATGCAGCTACATATATTGATGGTGTTTAGCTTGACTTAGGACTTTTTTATGTACAGCAAAATATTTACCACTACTTTGCTGTCACTCGGAATCGAGTATGACTATCATCCAGCTATGATACAATGATATGAGTTATTAAAGATGTCACCTTCTTTGGTGAGTTTTGAGGTGACTAAAGAGGCCGATACGGGATCGGCAGAGTCGATCATAGAAACTGCATATATGGGGGGTTGCATCTAGTGCGGGAGGGGCGGCGGCAGCGTCTTTTCGGCGTTGGCACTTGGCTGCCTCGTTATGCAGTCGAACTAACTCGAAAGTAATGACACCTTCTTGTGTGGTGCTCATCCAAGCGTTACGGTGTGGAGTAATTGTCTCCTAAACACACACACACACACACACAATGGAAGTGGTGATGTGGGCGTGGCTGTAAGGAGGCGTGGGTGGAGGTATATAAGGGACCAGCTGAGCTATAGCCGTCACTCACGTCTTCACCATCAACAACAATGGCGTTCTTCAAGGTGGGTGACAAGAGAAGTTGTGCTAACTTATCTAAAGATGTATAATAATTTGTCAGTGTCTAAACTACTCCTTGAAGTAGAAAGAAAAATAATTACGTCAGTATATTTCGAGCTGACATACAATTGGTCCCTTGAATCTGATAACTACGCCATTGAACACACCGCTAAATGTTTGAGGAACTTCCTAATAATTTTTAAAGAACAATAAGGTTGCCCAAGTAGTAGCATAGTCTAATTTGTTGGTTTGTTTATCTGAATAGTTAGTTAATTAGGCGGTGTCACTACTGCGATAGTTTTATCAAACACTGACTGACCATGTCTCTTGTGTGTGGCAGGTGGGTGTGGTGGTGCTGGTGGCGGCTGTTGCTGCGGTCTGGGCTGGACCCATCTACGACAACACTGGCGGCGACAACGCAGGACCCGTAAGTCTCTCTCTCTCTCTCTCTCTCTCTCTCTCTCTCTCTCTCTCTCTCTCTCTCTCTTTACAGTACGAGGTGTTGTGCCTTTTGAAACATAGAATGAGAAGTGAAACATGACGTAGAGACTAATCATCCTCTAATTAAAAAAAAAAGAACCCTTGATATTGCTTCACTTTAAATTAAAAACCATTTACAAATTATGTTAGAGGACAGGCAGGTGTTTTGATTATAGCATACTAAGACTATTCCCACGGCTGCCTGTCTTTTCTAAGAGTACTGTCATCCCTTACACCATCTATCGGATAAATTAAATTTGTCTGCCATCTAACAAGTACTGTATAAAGACACTTAATTGCGTTATCACGTATATTAACACAATTCACCTTTTTGCCTTCTCACTCAAGCCACCAGATTTGTCTACGGTGTTACAGCGTGATATCAACAACGATTAACTACAAGGAGATGAAACACATTAAGTTCTACCGCAGACATAACCTGTCAAAAACGTATTAATACTGATCCACCCTCTTGCAAGTTACCTGCTCCAATCTCTGCCATATTTGTCCCCTCTTACCTTACCATGGCCCATGTCTGTTCCTCTACAGGCAATATACACATTCTCCTACGACGCCAACGACGCGGAGTCCGGGAACCAGTACGGCCACGCGGAACAGCGGGACGGCACCAGTTCCTCAGGGGAGTACCGCGTCCTGCTGCCCGACGGCCGCACCCAAGTGGTTACCTACACAGTGGAGGGCGACGATGGCTACGTCGCCAAGGTCACCTACGAGGGCGGTGGTGGCCTGGGACACAGTAGCGGCGGCTACGCATAGGGACCAACTCACCTGTCAGGACACCGAAGGCCCCCAGTACTGACCACACTCAGGAGAGTACCGGGTGGAGTCAACACACCGGTAGCTATGAGTAGAGACCACACCCACTTACTAGAATACCGGGAGCCTTCAGCTGCTCACTTATGAGGATACCGGGAACTTCAACACCCAGTAACAATCACATCCATATTTTGGGGACCTTCAGCTCCCCGGTAACCTCATGAATGGAGCCATGTTAGGCCTACAGGTCATCCCTAAGCAGACCGGTAATATTCAGCACCCGGTGGCTTTGACTGGGAGACAGAGACCTACAGTTCTTTACCTTAAGCACCTTCACCACCAGCAGGAGCCCGACGCCCTCGGTGAAGCCCTTCTGTATGATCCGAGTTACTGGTGAAGCGTCTACGTCGTGTCTACGTCACCATAAGAGAGAATGATGCAGTTAACTCCTAATATGTTGAGTGTGTGTGTGTGTGACAGTGTATATACTAATGTGCGTGTGTGATAGTGTATGCACAAGGATGTGGGTGAGAAAGGGAAAGTAAGTGAGAATGCACATGAGTAAGCTGTACAGTTAAGGTGTATCGCGCATGTGAGAGCCATCGTGACTGCGTGGACATTGAAGTGTGTGTGTGTGTGTGTCATAACATGAATGAGGGAGTGGTGGGTGACGGGTGAGGATCAACGGAGGATTAGGAGACAAGTGGCTGAACTGTCGACAATGTCTTCGGCACCAAAACCTCCTGCCTCCACACCACCTGACGCGCCCTAACCTGTTTCACTGCACCCCCCCTACTTCACTGCCACCCATCCCCCCCCCCTATTTCCTCACTGCTACCCACCATCTAACACTCCTCACACAGTCCTATCAACAGATTATTATTTACATGTTGGTTATATAAGTTTTGTGTATACGTCATTTGTTATATGTACTGTTTTTGTTTCTCTTTTCGATATTAATAAAGAATAAAACATAATATTTCTCTCAGTATATACCTCACTGTTGGCTCGTAGTGATCAAGGCATCTCGGAGACACTTCTTGACGGTAGTGCTTCTCTGGTTGGCTACTGCAATACAATACACACACATACAACACAACATAACACAAAACAGGCCCGCTTCTGTGTAAATAAATTGTGGTGATCCGATGGTAATTAATCTTATTTAAGTTCATGGTGTTATATTCTATCCTGAACTGAATAAGAAATAAATATTTTAAATATAATAAATACAGTATTGATAAATGGTTAAGTAAAATTATTCCTACAATTTAATATTCAGATAAATGTTGATTTGGAACCGTGTCTTCTGTTTTTAAAGAAATAAAAAATTTAATTATCGATCGTGGCCGTGGTATATTCTCAACAATAGCCACCTTGACACAAATACAGTTTCCTGTAATTAAATACTAACCCCAATTCCCTCCACTCTCCCCCAGCTCGTGAATAACCACAGTCAAGCATCACTACAGTAAATATAATAACAGGAGAGTTAGTGAGGACGGTGGTTATTGGCTGACGTTTACCTCCTCACAATATGACGAGTGTGTGATGACGACTTTATTGATGTTTGCAGCGACGGAGAGACTGACTGGCTGGCTCTCGCTCACAACTAGACCCAGTAAACCATCTTTGTCTTGTAACTCTCGTGTGGATAACTTTGCGCCCTTTATGTTAAATATTTTATTCACATACCGCTACAAATAAGCAATTGTCCAGTTCGACAATGATATTTTATAACGAAATTTGATATATTAGTAAATATTACACTTTATACAAGGGAACTTTTAGTACAGGAAACGTATTACGCATATAGTGGAAAAATTTACTACAATGTGAAGATAACTTTAGGTAAGAGCATTAGCACGTCACACCCTTCCTCAGCTGGTGTGTGACGAGGGTGTGACGCACTGAAGCATCTTGTGACAGCAGTTTTCCTTATTCACCGTTTGCTTAGAATTTATCAAACATTTCAAGCATTTTTTTTTCCAACTTAAATAAACAGTCAAAACACCATTCAGGGTTTGGGAAGTTTGTAAAAAATAACTTGGACACCAACACTGATACCGGAGGAAGATGACGTGGGACAGAAAGCGAAGAGTTACTGTAAGTGGATTCTGATTATCAAACTCAACCTAGAAATCATAAACATAAAACTGTATACAAGAATTCGTACTTGATCTAAAAATTTCGTTATGTGGTTATGTATCAGAAACCGCCTGTGTGACGTACGTAAAGACAGACGGATGTGGAAAACACTATATCCCCCTTTAGTACTCATGGCGGTGAATAAAAAAAAATAGTCTCTTTTACATGATTTTGTTTTTGTTTGGGTAATCTTTCAGTAAATTTTGAATTTTATGAGAATATCGACCATGACAGCAGCGGGAAGATACACAATTCTCTAAAACGACCACAAGACATCTGGTGGTGATGAGTCTTGATCATATTGCCGTGTCAGCTACCGAGTCTCCCCCCCCCCCACACCCCTCCCCTCATACTCACTACCTGGGTCTGCTGTAGGAGGAGGCTCTAACACTGTCTTGGTCTCGTTACTTTGGTTATACCTAACTAACTGTGTTGTTTTGGGTTTGTGAAATATTACATTGGTAAGAATAATACCCTCACACCCCCTCTCATCTCCCTTCCTTTCCGCCTCATCCTCTTCCTTACCAATAGTTTCTACCCTCTTCTCCACCTCTACATTTTCTCATACATCTATCTCCTTAGCCATTATTATCTCTTTCCTCTCCCTCTCCCTTCATCTCCTCATACTTCTGCCTCCCCCCTTCTTTGATCCTTCTTCCCCGACCCTATAGCCCCTCCTCCTAAATAGACCGTGACTTTGACGTATCTAATGCTGTGCTTAGAAACATACAAGTCAAAATCATGAGCTCTGATCTAGAAGTAATGAAAAATGCACAAAGTCCTGACAGTTGTATCATCAGCAAACACAAAAAAAATGTTACAAGAGGTACTGGTATGGCCAACAAAAGGACAGATCCAGACAATGTGATGTGGTCGTAGTCAGAATTAAGGCAAGGATCATAGGCACATCTAGCAAGTTATAAGGCTGTACCCATAGCGGAACACTCAGCATGTAAAATTTGTGATAAACGTTTAAAGCATACTCTTGCATATTATACAGTATTAAAAACAGAACACTAACAAAGACGTCAAACTACAGGGTACAAGGCTTACTGTATTATGAACTATGTAACTACTACATTGAATCAGAAAGAGTTGAAGATATTTTAACAGTTTATCCCAAATTTGCTACAGTGATTAGCCCTTAATTATATTGTGACACTAACGAATATGACCTAATCTATTATCTCCTATTGTGTATGAACCTCTGTCCTATGTGGCAGTAAACAGTGATAGCACCTTTTGTGACTGAACTACAGAGATCAGGCAAATTTGTACCTCAATCTCCCCTCCTTCCTTCCCATATGAGAGAGAGAGAGAGAGAGAGTATCCCGTCTCTCTGGTCAGGAGTGCCTCGCATGGGCCGTCACTTTCACTTACTTTAGGTAGTAAGCTCTGTAAGGTGCACTCACTCGACCACATCAAGATAAGTAATGCTTAGTGACGGTTCTTGGTGACGTTAGCGTGACTGTAACGGTGAGTGAGGGTGTGGCTGGTGATGCTGCCAGGTGAGATGAGGTACGGCACCATGTGTCTGTTTTGGTGAATCATGCACCTGATGATGATGATGATGATGATGATGATGATGATGATGATGATGATGATGGTGGTGGTGAAGGTGGTAAGAATAACGAAATATCTGGTGATGGTATGAGGTATCTAGTAATGGTACTAGTGGTACCTGGTGATGGGTCTTGGTGAGTAATTATTTCTGATGAACGTAATAGCAATACCTAGTTAATTAACGTAGTAATTTACACCCATGATGGTATACAGGATACTTGTAGTCGTATTGGTGACGTGGATATGCTAGTGACATCTCTGCGTTAGAGTGAAATAGCAAAACAAGCCGAACGATATATTTTTTCAATACACATATATATTTTTTTTTAGAATTTACCGACACAAAAGTCACCCTGTATACCTTCTACCCATCCGTGACAGCCTATAGCTTGTACGGAAGTAAGAATGGCAGGAAAAGTTTAGTGTGTGTGGACTTACAGACAAACACACGCACATAATACTAGACCGCAGTGTGTCATTCACTCCCAGGAAAAGGGGTCTTACGGCTCATTACGTTCGGTAGAGAATTGGGAAATGACCCTTGAGTGAAACTACGCCAGTGGGTCACCCTTATGTTTGTCTCTGTGTTACTCCGAATAGAACGAGAGAGAGAGAGAGAGAGAGAGAGAGAGAGATAGGAGAAATTAGTCGAAGCAAAAGACGATAAAACCAACCACCAAGAAGTCCAAAAAATACGATGTATAAAAATTAATAATACAAAACGCAAAGAAAAAATGAATAAAAATAAAGAAATAGAGAAATAAATGATGAATAGAAAAATAATAAAGAGGGAGAGACGAAGGGGATAAATAAAGAACAAAAATAATATTCATGGACAGTATAGGAAACGATTAAAGGAACTACAAGAATACGAAAAAAAGAAAAAAAACGATTTGGGAATAATTGTGAACGAAGAAGGTTTGGCTGCGGATGAATGGAGTAAGAAAACGATAATAAAGGTGGATAGCAATTTAGGATGAATAAAAACAAGGAAAATAAAGTGTAACAATATTGAGGTGGGTAAAAACAAAAGTGTAGACACAGTGGATAAAAAGTGGTATGTAATTAGTAAGCAATAGCGAAGAGGATAAATAATGGGTTAACAATAAGCAAAAAGAATAATTAACAAATATGTAAAAAAATAAATAAATAATTCACTGTTAATAATAAATTCTAAGCTCATATGATATATTTATGTAGCTGTAAGTAACTTTAGAATCCGAAAAGTTTGTCTTATCGTAGAATAATGATGACATTAGAAAAAAATAATAATTTGCACAAAAAAAATTGGGAAACAAAGTAATGTTGATTAAAAGACCTGATCCGTATTAAAAGTCAATGATGATATGAGGGACTGTAAAAAATGGTAATGTATGAGAACACCACTACCACCAGTAGTAGTTCGATTTCGTTCATTTATCTCACAGATGTTCTTATCATTATAGTAAGTATTTTAAAAGAAGTGACATTTACTAGAAACTAATAGAACCTGACGTCATCAAACAAGGAAGCCTACCTAACCTTACCTAACTCTCTACCCGGGGGGGGGGGGTGGGGGAGCCACTCCTCTTCCATATTAAACAGAAAGTACTTATTTTGATATCTGGTACATATGAAAGCAACTCTGTTTAAGTGTCACGGTGCAATTTACTTTTTGTGTGTGTGTGGACGTGAGACTGTTCGGACCAAGCAGATCGGTTGTTAACACTCAGACGGCACGCGGAGACAAGGCATATTATTCGGAGGAGTATTGTATTTTCGGTAAATAATTAATTTCTTCGCGTATAAAGCACGCAGAGACATCATTTTAGTGTCATATCAGATTTTTACCGTGTTTCATCCGAATTTTCCCTCATTTTTCATGCCTTGCCCCCTACAGGTAATTTATGATCGTTGAGTAGAGTAATGAAAATAAATATACTTATAATTAAAATACTCCCTATGACGATCAGAACATCTGTGCCAAAAATTAACGAAATCGAACAATTGCTTCTGGTGGTAACGGTTTCCTTATAAATTACCTAAAACATAAATTGAGAAAGACTAAAGTAGATAAGAAGAAATCATTTAAACAAGTGGAAATAAACAATATTACTGAAGTCTCTCATATTACGTTCTCTTTAATAATAAATTAAAAGAAAATAGACAATATTTAGCACAAACTATTTTATTATGACAGCCTATACTACAGTATGTAATTTTCACGTATATACTTTTACCCTGTCTACAATACGGCCAATTCATTTTATAAGGATCCTCACCAA